ATCACAATCCACAAGGTTTATCTATATGAGGGAATAGAGAGTGGTGGGGATAAAAGATTTGATAACGATGCTTCACTTGACATGGCGAATAATCGTGTTATAGCCACCTTGAATCTTTCTCAAATCTCAACTACTACTTCTTACTATTATACCTTTTGTGATCATATAGTAGTTGATTAGTCTTATTATTTAACTAACGATAATCTTAATTCTATAACAAGTAATACCCAGAGATGATAGAATGAGGAATTCCAGTCTCATTGTTTCAACCATACAATTTTGCAAAATTGCAATTTGTACCGTTTCATCAGTTTTCCATTTTAATAGCTAAAACAAATGACATTCTACCATTTTACAATTGAAGTAGGCTTTTTTCCAGTAGTTTATTTATTTTGTTACTTTTTCTTTGTTTGAAAAGGAATTTCATGATTCATCCATCAAATTTATTATTTTCAGTAGATTTTTCGCTATGAGACACAGATTAATTTTGGATCTTGTAGCAACGAAGTTAAAGACGGACTTATGAGGATTACATTTCTTTTAAGTTTTAACTTTTAACCAATAATACAATATACAATACCACTTAAAACCAACGCAATTTAGTTATATACTACAAATCTAGGAAAGAAAGCTACACATGATCTGAATCAGTTGACATGAGAATAGTTTTAGTTAGGGTTGTATTTAATTTCGATATTCAAAAGCTAATGATATAGATTAAATATTTATCTATGGTTAGGCGATTATTGACATAGACTTTAGTTGACGCTTATAAAAGAAACAAAAACTTTAGTTGACGAGAATAGTTTTTCTTCAAATCAGTCATTCAAAAAGGCTACACCATGCAATGCAAGTAAATGCAATCACGCTTCTTTCCATTATATATCATTTATTTTATAAATTTTCTAAGAAGACCATGTCCTTTATCTATGTCGACAAAACATGATAAATAATTTAACCATATACGTCTTAAATGGGTTCTATTAAAATAAAATAACATTAGAAGTTATAAAATTTGAAAAACAACTATGACTGGTGCAAGAAAATTATTTGATTGGTGGGAAGACTTGAGTTTTTAACAAATAGATTCTTTTTGCAAAGAAAGGGAAATAAGCAAATTAAAAGACATATATTAAGCTCAATAACTTGTTCTCCTCTGAAAATTGATTTCCTTAAAACAATATCTGTGTCAAAATGGCAAAAAATGTCTATTTTTTCCAATATACTTAGAAAACTGAAAAACAAAAACCCAAAACATCAATACAACTCACTGCATTGACTACATGAAATAAGTTATAATGATTTTTTCATTTATAAAAACAAGTTAATACAACTCAAAAAATATAATGAGTTTTCTTCTTCCCAATGATATACATCCCTAATAGGCAAGACTAATAATCGATTCCTAACAGTTCAATTTTTTTTTTTTGTGACAGTATTATTAATTTATTATAGGTTAACGAGATTATAATTTGAAATATTTGTTTGCATGCGTGATTTGATTAAAAAGTTCTATACTTATTTTCCACATTAACAACAAATGGTTGAAGTGTCTTCCCCGAAAATTCCTTTATATAAGAAAATAGTAATCACTGAGGACAATAGGAAGGCAACTAAAAAAGAACTATATAATATAGTTGTGGAAAGGTCATTTATATTGAATATAATCTTCCTTTTGGTTAGACCAAAAAAAAAAAAAAATCTTCCTTTTGGATATAGAGATTAAACAAGTAAAGCCATAATTAGCTAATTATCAAAAATCTTCCCATCTACCTGGCTATACACACAGGCATAAGCAAAATATACAATACCAGGATGAACAATCAACACGCATAACACAACAATCACACGAGAAACAGTCAATACGTCAAACTGACGGTAATCAAAATTGTGTGTCCATCTCCTGCACAGAAACCGTCAACAAACACATCCAATAACACGAAATCATCCATATCAACAAGAATCAATCAT